CCTCTTCATACCCCTGCCTCCAAACTTGCCTACACCCATGCCTATAATTCCTCCACAAACTGCCCTAACCATCCTCACGCCTACCCCTACACCCCCACTTGAAAAACCATCTAAAACCATGCCTTTACCCCTCCTGACCACTGCCCATCACACCCCCAACTCTGGTCCGACGCCCTCACCCCAATCCGTTCCCAACGTCATGTCTTTAAACCAACCACAGGCCCCCAAGAGTACCCTTGAAGAGTCATCTTTCTTCATGATTCAAAACCCCACTTTTGCTCCCCAATTTTCTAAGCCCGAATAGCCCTCCTCTCAAACTACCGAAACAATGCAGCCCACTTCCCCAAAGAATGTTTGGGACAAATATGATGACGAGGACTATGATCCCATTTGGGATGAAGAACGTGTCAAAGAGGATGAAGAAGTGTTTGAGGACGCAGAGGATAACCCGTTTTGGGTTACGGAGATAAAAGAAGAAGAGCAAGAAAAGAAGACCCACGAAGGAGTCGTTACTCCTGACGCGGAAACCTCCGCTCGAGACCTATCTTTGTTAACGGTACTTCGTACCAAACGTGTTGAGTTTTTGCAGGCCCCGTATGAAAAGAAGGTTGAGAAGGGTCATGACTCGAAATGGTCCATTCAACTCGGTGACCTAGTATGGGTTCACGTTCATAAGGCGCGTTTATTCAATAAACGCAAGTCAAAGCTACAACCCCAAGACGATGGTCCGTTTGAAGTGTTGGCAAAGGTTCAAAAAAATTCCTACCTGGTCAATCTTACACGAGGCCTAGAAGTTGCTGCCACGTTTCATCGAAGAGATCTTAGCCCGTACGAGGATTTTGAAGATCTTCCGAGTTTGAGGACAAACTCTTTTGAAGACCGGGAGGATGTTATACCCGGGCCTGGCCCTATCATACCCTCCCCCATGTCCTACACCCTCGCAAAAACCAGAGGACTTAAGTTCAAGCATTATGATCCGTTTTAGTGAGAATTCCGAGTCCTTCAACCCAAGAGGCCAGGATAGCTTCGGACCCGAGGGTTCCACAGGCCAACCCCCACTCTGTCCAACCCAACCCAAAATATCCAAAACTCCTTGCCATTTACTTCATTTCAAAATAAAGTTTTT